ACCATTCTTAGCTCTTAGATCTATAAAAATGGGCCACGGGCCATAGTTTTTTCCTAGAGTGCTGTCAGTCCAATAGAAATACCATGAGTCATACGCATCCTTGAAACTTTCTTGGATCCACATTTTTTAAACAGTTAAAAGATGGGTGCGATTAGCCCCAGGAATGTCTTTCCTTGAACCCAGCATATCTAAAATAGCATTTCAGCATGCAATTAATATAGAAAAACTTGGTGTTTCACGTGCGTGGTGTGTTTTGTTTTTTGGGTTTTTTTTATACCAAATCTTCGAAATCCAGTGAGTATTTTACGGTCACAGAACATTCAGATCAGCTGCATTTCGATTGCTCAAGAGCCACATGTGGGGAGGAAGGGCCTGCTGAACTGGAGAGTTCGGATCGGCCCCCTCTCTGCTCCCTCTTCCCCATCTGTGATATGGGTGTGATCATATCCCCGCTCAGTACTTGGGGATGTTGAAGATGTAGCAGGATGTCAGCTCTGAGCACATAAGAGTTTGTTGGATGGAGGAAAGTGTGGGGAGGATGGGCCAGCCAGCGGGCGGAGTCCGTGCCGAGCCCTGTGCTGAGGGAAAGCATGGTACGCTTGAGACGTGCGGGGATACGAGGGGTCGAGCCTCGGCCAGTGAGCCCAAGTCTGGAAACAGTGGGAGGATCTGTTCCGGGTGGCCCAGCCTCTGCGAGGGCTCCTGGTCTGCAGGGAGGTGGCCTTGGAGGTGTCCAGTTCTGGTGACCGTCTGTCTGCTGCGGGACTTCTATGACAGGCACTCCCCATGTTAATGGACCCTGCGGGCTCCATGCGTCTATAGCTTACTCACATCCTGCGGCCTGCTGCCCTCCTCTCAGCTTGTCACAGTTCAAAATCCCAGAAGAGAATCTGATTGGTCGAGCTCAGCATTTGGGGTGGGTGGGTGGGCCAACTTCCAGGTAAGTGGAAGTGGGCGTTGGCCTGAGGAGAGGCAGGAAGGACATGGCTTTGGGACTCACTGGCACTGGTGAGGAGCTGGCAGGGACGTTTGCCAGTTCATTGGGTCCGATGACGGGGGGGGCAGGGGGAGTATGGTGGGGATCCTGGGAGAAAAGGGTTTGGGGGAAGGCACCAAGTCCAGTTGGAAAGCGGTGAGCCCAGGGACATAGTCCAGCTAGAGAATCAGCTGACTCCTTAGAGAAAGCAGGTAGGCAGTGGGGGGAGGCAGGGGTGGGGTGGTTTCCCCTGGCTCGGAGCGGGTGGGGGGAGCACTGATGGATTTCTCAGCGGCTTCTGAGAACTAGAACAGGGCACATCCTATTCACCTTGAGAGCGAAAAGCACCCCTGGTGGGGGCCCCTGCATATGCAAAAGCCTGGAGCTCAAAAGCTTGGGGCTTGCTCTGGCCAGTGTGGCTCAGTGGGCTGGGCATCGTTCTGTGCACCGAAAGGCTGCCAGTTCGATTCCTTGTCAGGGCACATGCCCCGGTGGTGTGCTCGACCCCCAGGAGTGGACGTTCAGGAGGCAGCTGATCGATGTTTCTCTTTCATATCAATGTTTCTCTCCCTCTCCCTTCCTCTCTCTAAAAAAAAAAAAAAAAAAAGGCGGGGGGGGGGTGCCGAAACCGGTTTGGCTCAGTGGATAGAGCGTCAGCTTGTGGACTGACGGGTCCCGGGTTCGATTCCGGTCAAGGGCATGTACCTGGGTTGCGGGCACATCCCCAGTGGGGAGTGTGCAGGAAGCAGCTGATCGATGTTTCTAACTCTCTATCTCTCTCCCTTCCTCTCTGTAAAAAATCAATAAAATATATTTTTTAAAAAAAAGGGTGGGGGGCTTGTCTGCTGAGCTCTGAGGGGTCCGCAGGGCAGGGGCAGGAAAGGGGAGAGAAACTGGGGCAAAGTCTCTCCGTGCCAGCCTGCGGAGGGTTTTGGAACAGGGTAGGAAGTAAATGGACTTTTCAGTCCTTGGGCCTCTGGCCTGGCTCCCTGAGGAGCCAGAAGGGCGGACTGAGAAGCGTGGTTTCCTGGAGGAAAGCACGTTAGGTGGGGACGCCTGCGTCCCCGTCTCATCTGGCCTCGCTCTTGTGCGAGACTCAGGGAGGAGCCTTCTGGACCGCGTTTCCATCAGGTTCTGGAAACGCCTTCTTTGCTGATCTGATTGATCGGAGGGGACATGAGAAATCGTGGGTGTGAGAGTCTTGACCCCAAACCAGGAGCAGATAACCAACACCTGGCACGCAGCCCTCGGCGTGGCCGCCGCTGCCAGGGGCAGGCATTATTCATTGATCCCCGCACTCCCTCCCGCTGAGCCTGGTGCTCAGGGCAGCCGTGACCAATCGATTGGGCTTATCATCCGGATGCTGCTGTGACCACTTGACTGTGGAGTCTGTGACTGCAGGGACTGCTCCTCCTTCATCGCTGGGTTATCATAATGCAAGTGCACGTGTCCCCCCATGTTCTTAATTTTTAAATATATTTTATTGATTTTTTACAGAGAGGAAGGGAGAGGGATAGAGAGTTAGAAACATTGATAGAGAGAAACATTGATCAGCTGCCTCCTGCACACCCCCTACTTGGGATGTGCCCGCAACCCAGGTACATGCCCTTGACTGGAATTGAACCCGGGACCCTTCAGTCCGCAGGCCGACGCTCCATCCACTGAGCCAAACCGGTCAGGGCTGTGTTCTTAGTCTTTACGTATCTGTACCGTCAGTTGCTCCCTGCGAGAGCCACAGCGGTCAGACACTTCCCGGGCAGCCCTGGTCATCACCCAGTCCCCTCAGGGAAAGGGACAGGGTCCTCCCAAGACTCATTGAGGCGTCACTTCTTCCAGGAAGCATTCCTGGGTTCAGATTGAGTTGCAGGTCCTTTCTCTAGGCTCCCGGGGCATCTGCCGTTAACACATTCACTATGGGTGCTGTTACTTTCCGTGTGCCTGCGTCGGGCTCCCCTGCTGCCCGCCTCACTCCCCAAGATCAGGTGCTGGGGCTCACGCACATCCGTGGGTTCCAGTGCCCAGTCCGGGGCACACGAGGCTCGGTGTGTGGGAGAGGGTCTGAGGGCGTGCGGGCAGTGGGGAGGGGCGGGCCTCTCCCTGGGTCCTGCCCTGTGTGGATAGGCTGATGGCGAAAACGGTCCCCTGTCACCTGTCTGTTCTTGGCACAAGCCACAGCCTCGCCCCGCTTCGTGTATTGGCTTGTCTGTCTCGTTACCCCGGTAACGAAGACCCCATGTCAAGGCTTTGTCGATCTCAGGGCCAGACACCGCCGTGTCTGGAAAAGGGTGGGTGGTAGGTGCTTGCGTTTTGTCGCTACCTCTTGCGGGAGGCGTGCGCCATCAGACCGTGGAGCTATAATGACTGAAGCCTCGTAGCCCAGGAACGAAGGGCCGGGTTGCGAGCGTTGGATGAGCCGCGGGAGGACAGGGCCAGACCCCAGCTGCCTCCAGGCTCAGCGAGGTCCCCAGGGCTCAGACCCTCACGAGACCCAAAGATAATCTGTCATCGGATGTTCGTGGGTCCTTGCTGACCACGATGCCTTTCCTCGCACGGGGTACAGATGGGAGGTTGTGGGGCCAGGCATTGGGGGGGCAGGGCGCAGGCACGGGAGCTGACCCCGCCCGGCCTTCGCTCTGTCCCTTCCTCAGCTGACGCTGCAGACGGGCCGAAAACCCCTCGCCCATCTTGTCGCTTCCAGAAAGGCCTGGAGGAAAATTCCCCCAGATACAAGGCCTGGCAGCGGTATTTTTCCCCCCTCAGATAGTGAGTCTAGCAGGAGGCAGCGCAGCACTTCAC